TTAGACCGAAATTATTTAAAAATTGCATCTCTCTGCCTTTGTCCACCAAAAATGTGAATTTTTTTTAATTGTTTTATTCGCGAAATTTATGCCCCATGGGATAGTATTTGTGGGTTTCCAATTGCAACTTAGTCAAGTTAAGCTAATAGAAATGAGCAGAAGATTATGTTAAAATTGCATGCTGTTTGTAGGTCAACCCAAAAGGCACCTGCTGACAACTGGATGGAGCGTGTTTGTTAGCACAAAAAGACTCTTCGCTGGAGATTCTGTGCTTTTTATAAGGTATAAGATAGATCTCTGCTCGAATGAGATTCCTGGCTTGTTTATTATCTGTACCGTTACTTAACTGAATTATTTGGTTATGTGTAGAGATGAAAAGTCACAGCTTCTTTTGGGTATAAGACGTGCTAATAGACAGCAGCCGGCTCTGTCTTCATCAGTCATATCCAGTGACAGCATGCACATAGGAATTCTTGCAGCAGCAGCACATGCTGCTGCCAATTTCAGCCCATTTACTATATTCTACAATCCAAGGTTTTGTGTCATGTATTTGGCATCATGTTCTTTTTTTCTATATAGCTCACAGGCTCTAAGAAAATCTAATTGGTTTAATAGGGCTAGCCCTTCTGAGTTTGTCGTTCCCTTAGCCAAGTATAATAAAGCAATGTACACCCAAGTCTCTATTGGCATGAGGTTCAGGATGATGTTTGAGACTGAGGAATCGGGGGTTCGTAGATATATGGGAACAATTACTAATATTAGTGATTTGGATCCAATTCGATGGAAAAATTCACAATGGCGCAATCTTCAGGTATTATTTGGGCTTTTATGATGTCTTTGTGGATCAATTTAGTAATCTAGTTAATATTCCAGTATCAAAAAGACATTTCCTTCTACAACTAGTTTATGCAATCATATGCTGTTAATCACTCCCCTATTGTGGTGTCAACAGCAATAAAAACTTATTTGTTGCGTTTTAAATCTATGTTTTATTGGCAAAGTAACATGCTTATTAGTTTCTTCTTCGTGCATTCTAGCCTATCCAAGTGTCTGGTAGCTCTCACTTGATATATACTCATTTCAATTTATGACTTCTACTTATGAGATTAGTTATCTAATCTAGCTTTTCTTGCTGATATTCTTTCTAGGTTGGATGGGATGAATCGACAGCTGGTGAACGGCCAAGTCGAGTTTCCATTTGGGAAGTTGAACCTGTCGTAACTCCTTTCTACATATGTCCCCCTCCGTTTTTCAGACCTAAATTTCCCAGACAACCAGGGATGCCAGGTACTCAAAACTTCCTCCTTTTAAAGTACATGGTATCCAACTTCTATTTATGTACCAAGTTGCAACTAGTGGCCAGTTCTTTTTTTTCCAGTTAACTTAATTCCCTGGTCGAGTGTAATTCTCTCTCATCGTTTTAGACTCCTCTTGCACAGATAGTAGTTGAATTTGTGGGATACTCTGTTCAGCTTTACATCTGAAATATTTTTGTCTTACTAACTTGCATGGGCAGATGATGATTCTGATATAGAGAATGCTTTCAAAAGGGCAATGCCCTGGGATGATTTTGGGATTAAGGACGCCACAAGTTCAATCTTTCCTGGTTTGAGTTTAGTTCAGTGGATGAGTATGCAACAGAATAATCAACTTTCAGCTGCACAATCTGGATTCTTTCCGTCTATGGTTTCTTCAACTGCGATGCATAATAACATTGGTGTTGATGATCCATCTAAGCTATTGAATTTTCAAGCCCCAGCACTATCTGCCCCAAATCTCCTTTTTAACAAAGCAAATCCACTGAATCAAGTTAACCAATTACCGCAGCCACCTACTACATGGCCCCAACAACAGCAACTGCAGCAGCTCTTGCAGACTCCTGTAAACCCTCAGCACCAGCAGCAATCATTACAACAACAGCAACAGCAGCAACCCTTACAACAACAAAAATGGCAGCAACTGCAGCAACCCCAACAGCTGGCCCAGCAGCAACTTCTTCAACCACAGCAGCCACAGCAGCAGCAACAGCAACAACAACAGCAACAACAACAGCAGCAACAGCAGCAGCAACAGCAGCAACATCAGCAGCAACAGCAGCAGCAGCAACAGCAGC